GTAACCTGGGCTGAGCAGAAGTGTTCAGCTGTATAAAAAGGAAGGTCAAAGCTCGCCCTCCCCCACTCTCACCGTCCTTGGCTTGGGAGAAACATGCACAAACTCTTCGCCTCTCTTTGACTGTCAGAAATGACAGCTGGAGTCCCTCTGTGACTCCTTATGAAAAATGCATATGTGTCTTTCATGTTTTCTGACTGAATGGGTTCACTCACAGACAGCACACACAAATGTTTTCATTCCACCACCACTACTAACCAACTCATGGTCTCAATCTATCCGTCATTTCTTTCTCAGTCCGGTCTTTCTCTACTTGAATTGTTCTCAAAATCTCTGCAATCTCTACCTCTTGTCTCGCCCTCCTCTCCTCTTTTAGCCGTGCTGCAGTAATGAAGCCCTTTACACAGCTTGTCATACTGGACAGGTTTCCTCATGTTCCACCTGCCCTCTTCCCCTGACAGGGACAGGATGTACAGTATATCCCAGGACGGCGACGCAGTGGAGGGAGAAGGAGGGGGCTGCTGCCTGGCAGTGCCAACTGGCATAGAGAGCTGCCCAGTCTAGCAATGCTAGTTTCTCTGCGCCACCTGCTCTACTGCCCTCCTGCTCCGATACCTGGCCCTGGAAGGCAAACCTGTCATTATTGGAAGATATTTGTTTGTGTGTGTGTGTGTGTTTCTGTGTGTGTGTTAGCTGATCCAAGCATATCTGCCAACTCTCTGTCCCTCTCCGTTGCCCTCTGTGTTCTGCAGCTTTTACTAAACCTCCCTGGGACAGCAGTATTGGCTGCTCGGTCCCACTTGGGTTGCAAATGGAATTTGAAACAAAGGTGTTGCTTTGAGATAAAAGCCCAAAAAGTTTCATATTTATAGCTACCGTACCTGTAGCCTTCATGTGTTTTTTTTAAACAGAACTGATCTATTTCCCTTATTGCCTGTTGTGTATCTCAAGCATAAGTTTTTTTTTCTCTGGCATTCCATCCTTTATTCCTTCTTCTGTGTGTGCTCTGTTGTACGTAGAACAATGTAAGGGTGTGTAGCAGCCAAGCTTTTTGTACCTGGTTGCTTGCATTCCAGCTAATTCATTCTCTATGCTCAGAGCCGGTAGAGGGTTATATTGGCGGTGTCTGAAATGACCACTTCAGTCACGACTTGTGTGTTGCATCCACCCTTTTTGTGTATGTATGCACTAAAGCCCCTCTAAGCATCATGCAAAGAGGAGTTCAGGGGCAGCCATTGTCCCACAAGAGCTTGGACGTGCTATGAGGAGGCGAGAGGAAGGGAGGAGTAGAGGTGATGTTGTTATTTGTTTGCAAAGTGCTTTTCTCATGTCGCTCTCCTCTGTCCTGAACAAAGGGGCTTGGAGGGGGAGATAATGTAACTGGCCTCTCATGGGGAAAGGTTATCTACTGTTCCCGGTCAGCTGATAGCACAGGACAGGACACTTCAAGTCCCATAATGCCCAGAAGCTTCCACTAATGATGCTCTTCAATTAGCCCAGGGTCAACGGAGATGGAGAAAGGCCAATGCCTGTACCTAGTTGTATCACAGATCATAAAACAGATGTACACAGACAGACAGATGGATATTCAGACGCATGCACACACACACACACACACACACACACTTAACTGGAAAGAAACAAGTGCCATCAATTGGGATACACAGCATGAAGTTTCCTGACCTTTTTCCCTTCCGCGAGGTCTTTAGAGCACAGCTGCATTCTGTTGATGTTCGACCCTATTGAAGTGGACAGTGGAGCCAGCTGCTGGTCAGGCCAGTTTATCAGAGCCACAATTTACTGTCTGACAACACTGCAATTTCAGCTAGCAAAAGGTTGGGTCCTTAAAGACGAGAGGGCATCCTAGAATGGCCAGGACCAGGCGTGCAAACATCTGCAGCCACTTGAACTCATGTAACCCCTCATACAAACACACACGGATAATATATGTGCGCAATTGCAAGCCCCTGAAGTCAATTTATCTTGCTCTTGTCTGGCTGTCAGGGCTCTGTCATGTGAAGAGATTTCCCTGAAACAAGCTGCCTGACCACAAGACGTGACCAATCGATCAACATACATCCTCATTAACCTGGGAAAAGGGATGGCCATAGATTCCTGTCTTTAAGGTTGACCCATGTTTTTGTCTTCTTTAGTCTGACACAGTGTCTGAAATCAAAGCCAGCAACAGATTTATTTAGATGTAAGTCAAAACCTAACATGAAGTGATGGAGAGGGCAGGCCACAGCTGATCTCCTGTCACCTCCCTTAGCTATCAGCCTGCCATTGTTTCCTTCTGTTTTGAAAGATTCATCTTCTTTCTTCTTACCTTGTATTCATGACTGGCATCTTGTTTTTAATTGTCCTATAAGTGTGTTTTCTTAAATATTATGTTATTATTATTTCATCCACTATCAAATCTTCTCTGCTCTCTCTGCCTTTCACCCTTTCTCTCTAATAATGTGTTGGTGTGCATATTATCTAGCTTGAAACGCTTCATTATCTTTAATAAGCTGTTACAGTGTTGAGGAATAGAGGCTGAATGGTCCAGTGATTTCTGTTTAGGTAGATTTGGCTTGGTCCCCGTCTTATACAGTTTTATTATTACTCAGCAAGCACCATTGCTTTTATAGCAGATGTAGAATTTGCATTAATCGTGATTCTAAATATATTAATAAATAATACAGTGTGACTCACATACTTAAGTGGTTTTGTGTGTTTCAGCCCGAAACAGACGTGACTGTCTCTTTGACTCAAATCGTACAATCTGGCTTGTAGAAATCACAGTGAACAGACAAGAACAAGTCACACCTAAACCAAATCTCTACCCATAGGCATGAGGAAAATGAGACATCATTTGACATTTCTTTGCTGCCTTACATACATCATTTGAAGGTATATTTACCTGTGGTACTTACACAGTTTTTTTTGTAGAGATATTGAAGGAAAGACGGAAGAAGAGAAGAGAAACCGAGAGGGAGGGGGAAAAGTAACCCTGTTGACCCACGACCAGAAGCAGAAGTCAGTGTATGTCATGGTGCAGGCAGGGAAGGATTTGATTAGCAAACTAATGAAATCAGTCAACGCACTGTGTGTGTGTCGTGTGTGTCTGTGTCTCTGGATCTGCCTTTGAGTCACACTCACACATTCTTAGAGGCAGTCAAAAGCTCCCCTCAGTTTTCTGCTACCTCTTCTTGCTGCTGTTCCATTCTGCATCACTGGTGCGGGGAATTAGTTCTTTGTTACTGCTGTTTACCGCCCTCATTTCCCGTCCCTGAATCCTCATCCACCTGGCTATCGACCCAGCTACAGTGAAGCTGTCCATCTGCACCTCCGCTCGCTGTGTGTATATGTGTTTGACTGGGTGTGTAGGTGGTTAGAGGGGGTGTTTTTTCTGAGCGTCTCATGATTGCACTTGTGTTTACATCAGTCTCTTTGTGTGTATTTTCTTATTTTTTGCTTCTTGAGCTGCATAAGTCTTGAATATGCATGTGTGTGATTGCAGATGGGACTGTGTACCCTTGTATCACATGTGTGGTCTCTGTGGGAGTGTGTGTGTGTGTGTGTGTGTGTGTGTCTGTGAATGTGTGTATGTGTGTGTGTGTGTGTCAGAGAGTGCAGCCCCAGGGTGGCTCAGCACAGGCAAGGCAGTGGCAGGCCTGTCTGAAGTACTTAGGGCAGACAATGCTCAGAGCCTGAGGTTGTGGCTTCACTGACAGTTAAATTATGTGGCTAAGCACACGGTCACAGGTACTTACCTATGCTGTTGACACACACACACACACACACACACACACACACACACAAACACACACACACTCAGATAGCTGTTACTGTTGTTGTGGCTTGTCACAACACAGCAGAAAATATGAACAGGAGTCCCAAAAGCTTGGTGTCCTTGTTCTCAAAAGGATGGACTGAATGTCCGTGTTTCAGCACTAAAGGTGTATCAACTCTCTGTCTATATCGCTGTCTATGTCTATGTATCTGAGCAATAAAGTTGGCAACAACAACCCAAACAGGACGTTGGCCATATGTCTGCAGGGGTAATTATAATTTGCTCTGTGGTAGCATCCTGGTGACCCGCTGCTCTAATGCTGTAGAAAAGAAAGAGGAAATCTTACTGAGAGTGTGAAATACACAGACTTCTGCCTTTCAAGGCATCCTACAACATGTTGTAAGGCAAGTGAAACCCCTTGTGTTTATAAGCAGTTAAACAATTATAAGGACTTATCTCCACAGACTTGCTAGACTTGGGAAAATGCTCAGTTCAGAAGGTTGAATTTTGGGCTAAAATGTATACCTTGTAGGAGTGATGGAAATTATAATGATGCTGATAGAAAAAGGAGGACGCAGATGTTCAAATATTTGGCCCTGGACTCTTGTGTTTGATTATTTAATGTCTCATGGTCTTGGGGGACCTAACATGCATTTGCACAGAGATACACATACACCTGTAGGATGCATGTAGCGGTACATGGGAGGAGCTTCTATACAGAAGTTCTTCTGTGTGCTTCCTAGGCAGAGAAAAAGGTGTGACGAGGACAGTGAAAAAAAGATGACAGTGGACAAAATGAATCAGTAGACCTTGAGAGAAGTTTTGGCTGTTAATGTCATGGGGTTAGTCCCTTTAGCACTCCCTCTTTCTCTCTGGAGCATCGGTCTGATTCTAGTTAAGAACATGCACAAATGCATCACACATCAAATTTATGTACATGTTTATGGAAAAAAGAATGACCATGGCTTCTACAGCTGGGAGATATTGATATTCACCGCTTCTTCTCCCTCCCTTGATTCTAGTTTCATGCCAGAACCTGCTAATATAATTCACTGAGGGAATTCAACTGGCGGTTACTGAGCTTCTGCTGAATCCTAAAACAACCACCAATACCTTCATCCACACAGGGATGACTAAAACCCAAGCCTGTTCTAGTTTTATCTGAGAGAAAGAACTGATCTGCCAGTTATATCCTCCTCTTTCTCTCTTTATGTTTCTGTCTCTCCAGGCCTGAAGACCTACCTGATCTCTGGCAGGAAGGTGGAGCCTCACTCTCACTGTAGCTGCTCTCAGTTGGGGTTGGCTGGGGATGAGCATGCAGATCCCCGGTGCCCTGCGTCCAGGGTGCACACACCTGATGAAGCTCCTTCAGCATGTACTCTGCCTCCTGACAGTGTTAAGGTGAGTGCATGCTATCGATTGCGGAGAAAATGATATAAAACATAAGCCATGTTGTGGAGGAAGTAAGTATAGTTCTGAGGTAATTTTTCATCGCATTGCCTGAGGAAGAACACTGAGCTGCATGTTCTGCTACAACCTCTTTGATGTTCATCTTTTCGCTCGCTATGTACTTTTGTTTATGTGGGTGTATTAGAAGCTTTAATAAAAAAAAATTTTTTTTATTTTTGGCATGCAAGGAGCTTCCTTTTGTCTAAAGTGGAGGAAGTGAAAAAGAAAAAGAATGGCTTTCATCCCTGTCATCACCATGCAATCTGAATTTGCTCCATGTTATTACATGATTTTAACCTTGGGCACCCTGTGTGGTTTGACTGTCTTTGTTAACTTTCGGTGAGCCTGTATGTACATGTCTCCATTTGTGTAGCACCTCAGTTCCCATAAAATCCCTAATATTAAGAATCAGAGAACAAAACAGTGAGAACTTATTAATTAGCAAATGAGAAGCATTGTTCTCCCCAGCGGGCAGTCTACATAATAACTGATCCATCATCATGTTCTGCTCACCAACCCAGAAAACATGTCCATCCGCTTTGCCTTCAAGGGAAAATTTTCATTTGCTTCCAAATTCTACCATTAGGTCATGGACTTACCAAACACATTATTTCCTTATAATCACCCTCCAAACCACGCACCAGTGTACCTTTCATTCACCCCAATTAATCCTACTTTCTGTACACATGTGCACCCCATAATCCCTGCAAAGAGCTTTCCCATCTTTGCCAGGCAAGGTGGAGGAGGGAGGGGTACTTGCAGGGGGAAAAAAGCAGGGAGAAGATGATGGGAGGCAGAGAATCAGTGGGGGTCCTCGGTATGGTAATGAACTACCTCAAGCAAGGAGGCAGGAAGCCCTTCTTACTTGCCTTCGACTGATGACTTAATTTAGGGCCTTTCATCTTCTTCATTGCTCTTACACAAATACAGATATGGTTGCGCTGTAAGATCAGACTCAGGGATCTTTAAAAAGGCATAATGACATTTGAATGTGTGACAGGATTTACAGGGCAGGTAACAAATGTTTACATGTTTAATGTAGCATGTAGGTACACAGTGTGTGCTGTCTGTGTGTTTGAATTATGCTGTATAGGGTGTGTGTTTTGGCTTCTCAGTGCACATTTACGCATGTCAGTGTCATAACACAGTGTAACTATCACACAGATCACATGCACACTCACACTTTCCATTCTCTTTCAAGAGGATGAGTGGGATGAAAATAAAGACCTTGAGCCTGTGTAGACCTCCTCTATGCCTCTTGTTTACTCTCCATCTCTCTTTCCATTTCTTAGTGACTTCTGCCATGCTTGTTAGCATTGTCCTCATTGAAATGAATAATTTTAGCCAAAGGTCACTTATCACAACATTCCTGGTTTGTGTTTAGGTGATAAGTTTTATTCACAGCTGATGTGTTTTCTGTATTTCCTTTGTCATTTTGTCATCCCCCAAGGCTCTTGATCTTGATCTCTGCCATCTTTTCATGTTTTTCTCTGCTCATGTGCTTTCCTTGATCTGTGCCTCTCAATTTATTCATTATCTGTCTTCTTTCCTGCTCCCATATGCTGCATCTCCCTCCATACTGCCCCCTCCAACCTCTACCTCCCTGCAGTCTCCTTGTCTATCCTGCAGTGTGGTCCTAATACCAGGGGAGGATCAGGTTCTGGAGGAAGGAGCGGTGCACAATGGCTGCCATGATGACCACAAGACCAACAGCAGCAAGGTTAGCCTGGTGTTGTTACCCAGACCAAACAGATGAGACTTTAAACTGTTAAACTGATAATAAATGTTTGCGTTTCCTCAGTCGGGTCAAGAGCTTGGCACTATTAATGTCCAGTATATTATATTTTGTGTATATAATATGTGTTTTTTTTCTCCATCAAATATTGGGGCATTGTGAACCAACACATTTACACAGGCCCAGCAGCAAAACGAAGGACTCAAAAGTAGTTCAAAGAAATAGAACTCCATGAGTCCCAGATAAAGTGTGCCACAGACACATGCAATTAAACTGGTGTGACTGCAGCACACTCCTTAACTTTATATTTATTTATTATAGCCGACCTGTTTCCAAAGCAAAGATCTATTATCACACCTTCATTTTTTTGGGGAAAATTCAGGTCTCCTCTCTCCCCTTGCTTCACCTTAGGATTCTTCAAATCTGAAGTGTTCCCCAGCGGTTTCTGCAGGGCGTGGCCCCAAGGCTCTGAACGGCCTGCTCAGTCCTCAGCTGGAAGCCTTGAACAACAGCCAGACATCACTGTGTGAGATGCTGCAGGAGAAGGAGAAGAAGACGTGGAGTGGAGGAGCCATGGGCATGGACCACTCAGCGCTCATCCCTCTACGTTCCAAGAACTTCAGGGAGAGGAGTGATGCTCACTTTGTGGATGTAATCAAAGAGGACAGGTTAGAATGACCTAAAGATAGATACATTAAACAAAACCTGTAACATTTAAACAGGTGGTAGTAGTATAGTAATAGTAACGTATATAATCCTAACTGAACTGACTTTCCTCTGTGCCCGTGACAGCCTTATGAAGGACTATTTTTACAAACCTCCCATAAACAAGCTGAGTCTCACCTTCCTGGAGCGGAGCCTGGAGTCTGCCTACCGGATAAGCTACCAGGAGGAGGTGTGTATATGTGTGTGTGCATGTGTGTATGAGCTGTTTATGTGCATGACATAATGGTGCCTGTATACCTGTGTGTACATGCATATGTGTGTTTATTTTTGACTTTATTCACAAATGCTATAAGGTTACCACAGTTGTCTTGTCTAGTGGTCTGACTGTGATCTAACATTCGTTCAGAGTTTTACAAGAGAAAAACAGCGTATTCATCCCATCTCTGCTGTCTCCATATGTGGGAGTGAAATCTACCTGTGTGTTTCTACCTGTTTTTTGTTTCTCTGTGTGTCTGTGTCTTGTCTGGGAAGCCTTTTTGCACTGCGTTATGACCAGACCGGTCAAGACTGCGGCAAAGAGAAATCACTGCAGGACCCTAAAAGTAGTTTTGTATTAGGTTGTGATGTCCTCTGCTGGTATAACCTCAGAAGTGCAGTTTCCATCTCATGGTGGCAACTGCTACATTGTTACGTCTAGAGTCTGAGTCATTCACATGATAATTGGAATATTTTTCAGTTGTCTTTCTTAAATCAGGGAATTATTGTTGATTGCAGGATCATTTATTTCAGACTCATTCTGAATGGTGAGATTATTTTGATTATGCATTTGTGTAGCTGCTGCTTGGGTAGTTAAAAAACAAACAATTTTCACAGACTAATTGTCATTAATGCCTTACTCTCATTTTGGAACTTAACCCCCCATTCATCTTAGTTACTATTTGTATGTTTATTAATATTGCATACTTTTTGGTTTATATATATTTGTTTGTCTGTTGTTCTCTCCCTCTCTCTTCCCCTTCCAGGTGGAAACACAGGCGATGGTGCAGACTTTTGCCAGTCCAACTTTCAGCTCTTTCCTGGACATGCTGCTGTGCTGTTTAGTGTTTCTGGCTCTCTCACTGGCCTGTTTCCTTCGACCGCTTGTTTCCCAGCAGAGTCTGTCCACACCAGCACTCATACTGACAGGTGTAGCTACCCTGTTGGAGGCTGTTGCTCTGCTGATTGCTATACGGTGAGATACTGAATTTAGAATAGGGGTCTAATTCAAATTGCACTGTGATTTACACCAAAATGTCCATTACTTAATCCAAAAGAATTAGTGGCTTAGAGACAGTAGGAATGACAGTTTTAAGAGAGGTGGTCTGTTAATAATTTTTTGTGGAGTTATGGAGCTTCCTGTCTCATCTGCAAGGAGAGAGCATCTCCTGGACTCTTGAGGAGCACCACTCTTTTAAAAGACTGCTAGCAGTGTGTAAGGTATGAGGGAGAGGAGAGGGAAAGACGAGTTACTCAACTGTGGAGTGTATGTTGATGAAATTTATTGTTAAAAAGACTGGAAGTGTGTTTTTCTCTGACAGTGTCCCCCAAGTCATTTGAGTTTTAGAAGTCTCCAGACAACTCCATTTGAAAAATAGATTTCATGTGTAGGAAAATGTTGTTAAGGGTTTATATGACAGTCACATGGGCATATTGTTGAAGGGCTTAGCTGTAGGTATATTTAAAGTAGTATATAGTTGGAAAGCTGAGAGAGCGGAAACTCAGTCACCGATTATTAGAAATAAGGGTCCTGGAGCAAAAAGGCCCGGAGTATGTCAAAGTGGGTGCCCTGATACTAGATCCACAATCATCTATAAAAATGAATAGGTCTTATTTACTAACCCTTGGTTTGTGTTCATGCACTGAGAGGCTTTGTGAATACAAGCCAAGGTGTAGATGTCTGGAATCAGATTATTATTCGGGTTGAGATCAGGTTTGGGTCAAACGGGACACTATCACAAGTATCAGATAAACAGTTCATTAATATATGACTGATACATCATAATAATATGTATATAATGTATATCAACCACAGCTCCCTGTTTTTCCTCTCCAGTATGGCTTTCTACCTGCACAGTGTGCTGAATTGCACTCGGCTGCTGATGACAGCAATTTCAGGCTGGATAGCACGTCACTTTATAGGTGCCTTCCTGGTGTCTCTGCCCACTGTGGCTGTCTTCTCCCATGTCACCTGTGACATGCATCTCTCCATCCAGGTGGAATCTAAGTTTCATATGTTTCTATGTTTAGAAATGTATCACTAGGATGTTGAATTTTTTGATTGCTGTCTTCATAGTAGATTTATTCTCTCTCATTCAAATTGTTAAGCACCTCTTCTCTGGGCTGCCATCCTTGTAAAATTTCCATCTCTGGCTTAATTATATTTAGCATATGTCTTTTAGTTGTACAGTGTGTGAATATAGTTTACAGCCAGTGTAATTTATGTGCTAGTCTTATGGGCTCTTTTGACTAATGACTCTATGTCCCATATTTTCCCCCAGTTCACCATGTTCATCTGCTGTGCTGTCATCATAGCTATCATTCAGTACTGTAACTTCTGCCAACTCAGCTACTGGATGCGCTCAGCTCTAGCCACTTTTGTGGGACTAGCGCTGCTTGCCTTGCTGTTCAGCACCCCCTGCAGGTATGACATACTAAAGAGACAAAGAAAGGAAATAACACAATGTCTTGTCCAGTAATCTAAAAAAAAAAAGTGGTGTGATTAAATTGTGTGTTAAAAAAAAAGTGTAGAGATAATATATATATTATATACATTGAATAGTGATGGATTTCTAGATGCATTTGATGCATTAACAAGAGCGTTTCATTTCTTCCAGTGTTGCTAAGAGTCTGTTTTTCTGGTAAGTACAATTGATATTGTTAACATGGTTAGTGCCACAGTTTGTACCTGCTCATCACACAATCAGTAAACTTGTTTTGTGTTCTTTTGTGTGTTGCCTGCATGATTTCATGCCAAAATCTTCCATAGTTGTGGTGGTTACTTACAGCTAAAGAAGGTCCAAATTCATTGTGAGAAGCAAAATATTATTCTACTCTTTTCCTTCATTTTCTCTCTCTCGCTCCATAAGGTCGGATGGTCAGAACACTAACAGCAGCAGCAACAGCTCAATGTCTGATAGCCCAGCAGACCCAGACCCACAGCTCAACCCACAGGACCTGCTGGGCCCTGAGGCCTGTGTGGCCTTTTTCCTGCTCCTTCTCCTAGTCTGGTTCCTTAACCGCGAATTTGAGGTCAGTCACCGCCTGCATTACCATGGCAACGTAGAGGCTGATAAACACCGCATCAAGATCCAGAACATGAGGGACCAGGCTGACTGGCTGCTTCGCAATATCATCCCCATCCATGTGGCAGAGCAGCTGAAGGTCACACAGAGCTACTCCAAGAACCACGACAATGTGGGTGTAATATTTGCCAGTATTGTTAACTTCAGTGAGTTTTATGAGGAAAGCTACGAGGGAGGCAAGGAGTGCTATCGTGTTCTCAACGAGCTAATTGGAGACTTTGATGAGCTGTTACGGAAGCCTGCCTTCTCAAATATTGAGAAGATCAAGACCATCGGCGCCACGTACATGGCAGCAGCAGGACTCAACGCGCAGCAGTGTGCAGATGCAGCGCATCCTCACGCCCACCTCCGCGCTCTTTTCGAATTTGCCCTGGAAATGATGCACGTGGTGGACGACTTCAACAAGAACATGCTGGGCTTTGGCTTCAAGCTACGCATCGGATTCAATCATGGCCCTCTGACAGCAGGGGTGATTGGCACCACGAAGCTTCTCTACGATATCTGGGGTGACACAGTCAACATCGCCAGCCGCATGGATACTACAGGCGTGGAGTGCCGTGTCCAGGTCAGCGAGGAGAGCTACTGTGTGCTCAGTGGCATGGATTATGAGTTTGATTACCGTGGCACAGTAAATGTCAAAGGCAAAGGTCAGATGAAGACCTTCCTTTACCCTAAGAGCAGTGACAGTGGCCCTGTGCCTCAGTACCAACTCTCAGTCTCACCAGAGATCCGGGCACAGGTGGATGGTAGCATTGGTCGCTCACCTACTGATGAAATTGCCAGCATGGTGCCCGCAACCAGCATAAATGCAAGCAGTACCAATATTATGGTACCCAGTGCCAGTGCTGGTTCCTCTACAGGGCTTAGCCATGACAAAGAGGCAGACAGCCGTGAAAGACGTCCCTCTTCAGACACCTCTCATGCCAGGCGATCTACGTCTCACGGTGGCATGACATCTATGCCCGTTACTAACCGAGAAGGACCTCTTCCTTCTGCAAATAACAAACAGTTCATCATCTCATCCTCGGCCAAGCAAAATATTCCCCAAAATTCCACAACAGTGTCCCAGAAAGACATCAAGAAGGACAAATGTGAGGATGATTGTGACAGTAATGTTGGAGAGTTAACCAGACTTTAAGGATCTGTTACAATGGCACTTTTATCATAAATCCTTTACCCTTTAAGCTCTTGTTCCTGCCAGCTGGCATTTGTAGAATTGGTGTACGTTTGGTCCTACCGCAGGTGGAATAAGAGAGAAAGACCCACAGGCCTCTTCTCTGCTTCAGCCAGGCAGCAGGTTGTTTTTGGTGTGAATCTGATTGGCTGATGATATCAGTGGAGGGTGCTGGCTGGACCGTAAAGTGAGTGTCAGGCAGGAACTCACAGAGGAAATGGGAAGATAAGATGGCTGTCTCTGAACTTTTTCTTGCCTGCTACAGATACCATCGTCTCCCATTAATTTACTTGATTATCTGTACACCTTTAATCTCAATTCTTTCTTTTCATATGTTGTTTAAGTGCCTTTAGAATAGAATATTATATTATATGTGTAGACTAAGCCTTTTTGAGCAAGGGAAAAATAACATAAAGGGAAAACTGTAAATAAGCAAACTTTTTGGAGAAATTGCTTAACTTTTGTTACAATTTTATTTTGTAAACTATGTTTTGCTATGATATTTTGCCTTTTATCAAAGAAGAGCTCAACAAGCGGACCTTACATCAGCGCTACAACATGAGGAGAATCTGTGTCAAGTGAAGGGAAATAAGATGTTACTCCAAGCTATGTGTTATTAAAATCTGTACTAGAACTCAGTGGAGCCTGTTTCCGTGTTCTTAATGAAAAGAAGAAAGCTCCTCATGAAAGTCACAGCAGAGACTAATCAATACAGGCTAAGGGCAGACGAAGCCCAGCTGCTTGTCGTGTGAGTGCATCTACATGCATACAGTGTGCGTGTGTGAGCGTGTGTTTGTACACATCTGTGTAGTAACAAGATCATGCAGGCCTTAAGGAGGAGAGGTGCCGATGAGTTACTTGACTGAGTTCTTGAAACTGCAGGATGACAAACAGTTTAGGAACGTAGTTGAAAAAAAAAATCTTGGTTGCTGATGTGGCAGCTTTTTTTCTGGCCTTGGTTAAGATCTTTGTATTGCCTCAGTATTGAGGCACGAGGGTCTCAGCTACACTTAATCAGCATGCTTGCAAAAACAGCATCATAGATGAGGCTAACTGTTAGTAGTGTTTGTGTTTTCCCCTCAAGATCCAGATCCAGGGTTAAGTGAGTATTTCAGTGCATCCTACAAGGCACTGCTGTACCTGTAGAGTGTCTTTAGCTGTGACTGTAGATTGCTTAGAGAGAACAACTGCCTAGGTTTGCTATGGATTACACTGTGTATTAGTTGATAGTGCTTTTAAGACATGGATAATCAAAAGTGGAATGTCACAAATCAAATGTGTTTTATTGTATTTATTGTTACACAAAACTTGAACTGTTCACGTGAAGCTCCCTTGTCTAATTTCTATTATTTGAAAGACATTTCTGGATGGAAACAGCTGGACGCTTAAGCTGCTTCATACTTTTCAATGGCATGCCACTTAATGTAATAGCAGTGTAAAAGCAAAGGCAGTGCTCCAAATGTATTATATATTAATCCTTAGGTGTTTTTACTCTTTCTTTTTGACTTCATTGATTTCACGCTATTGTGTTAGATTATTAAGAAAATCAAACTGATTAAACTGTACATCTCTCTTGCTGTTTTCTCTCTGTCACTGTTTCTTGGCAAAAGGATTGTGTGCTCAGAGGCAAAAAAAGTTTTACCAGTGTGTTATTTTTGACATTTTAAATATCCTAAACAACACATTAACTTTATATTTTTTCAATTACAATTTGATGATTAGTACGTTTAAGTTATAAATCAAACAAGATGCATATTTCAGTAAAACAAAAAACCAATTTGCCTTCTTTTATCATCAAATAACAGCCGCATTTACCCAAATACTTAGAAGCTTTTTTGTGTGTGTGAAACCAGGGTAGATCGTGCCTTTTAACTTAAACCTTGATTTTTTTTTTCACTGTCCGCTTTAAGTTGCTTAAATTTCTGGAGACAGAATGTTTACTTTTGCACATAAATCACACTTAATTTTTATGAGGTTTTCTTAGGTCATGAAATTTGAGCAGTGCCTTTTCTTAATATATACAATTAAATGTAAACATACCAAACCAGTCGACATTAATCAGCCTTATTGCAGTTTTTGAATTCCTTTTTGTTTGGCCTTCCATTGCGTGCTGTACTATTGGTCTCATGGGTTCTTTTAAATGCAATAATAAGAGTTTCACATAATTTGTTGGAAAGGGAAAATTACTTTCTTTATGCTCATGAGCACACAACCCTCGTATAAGCCCAAAATTTGTGTTTGTTATACTACAATAAAGGGACACTTAGAATAGTTATTGTTGTTACGCAAGGTTAAGTGCTTAATATGATATTATAGTGTCAGGTAAAGTGTATAAGTTACATTTCTTTTTTTCTCCCCTCAGTAATTCTGATAAGCTCTTTTGAATAATGTTTTTTTATGAACTCTGAACATTTTTGTCTGGATTAGTATTGTATTTCGGACTAACAGGAACAATCAGATAAGGGTTGTCAACTCACAGTTTTGATGCAAACTGCAAGCATGAGCTTAAATGTCAATTTGGTTTGATTTATCAAGATGCAAGTGACATTCTGAAACTGCAGAATGACAAAAAAAGAGAGAAAACTTTGATGCCAAAGAGTGTCATTGCCATCTTACGTTATATCTTCTCTCCTCCTTAATTAGCAGGTTGTGTTGTGCACGTTCAAGAAAGGACACATTTGCACAAGGCGCTCACTTTTTATGTACATTATGCCTTTATATTGTATAGTATCTGAGCATTTTCTATTATTTATAAAAACGCATGTACTAGATTATTCTATAGTCTAAAGAACTGGGTAATTTTATCAATGTTTGAATAATGCTTGTGTGTTCCTTTCGCCTGCATGTGCATAAAAAGTGTACGAGTGTTTGTAAAACTGTGTGGTTGTGTGTGTTTTCGAAGGGATGCTCTGATCTTAGCGGGAATGTCACCTGAACCTTTTAGTCAACTTCATGATCTCAAAGAGTGACATGCTAGGCCAGTAAAGCTTTACTCAATAGATAAATGAGCAAGACACTATTAGATGTCTGCAGGTAGGCAGTTTGTCAGTAGCCTGCTACAACCAAGTTTAAATGAACTGTTACTGTAAAGTGTTTTTATACATAGCACGCTAATAAGTATGCAAGTGAAGATTAAAAAAAAAGTGTGTTGCTGGGAAATGTTTTCCGGTTTAATTTATAGGCTGCACACTACATCCGGTTCTGTGTTTACCAGTGGTGGATTGTAACTAAATATGTTGTATGTTCTCAAGTAATGCTCTTAAGTAGCCATCTACTTTGAGTTAAAATTATTCTTTTTTATACAGTATGTGTTTTATACTATTCTACTCCTTTGCCTTATAACTGTACTTTTTTAGATTAAAATGTTATATACAAAACATTAGATCATTATAAAATATGAAACATTGTTATACATTAAACTACCCAACATAATATAAAGCTGTTTCAATTAGCCCAACTCAAACCAGAGATAGCATTAAATACTGCTTACAAGGTATGAATCAGCAATTAGTCCAATAATATATACAAAGTAACAAGACAGTTATGCTGCATATGAGTACTTTTACTTCTAATAAAGTATTTTACAGTGATTGCTACTTTTACTTTAAAGCCCTGAATACTTCTTCTACTACTGGTATTTACTGCTACCCAAGTAATAATAATAATTTGACCACTCAACTTTTTTTTTGTACAGTGCTCCTATCCTGTTAATGATTTCTTTCAGTTTGTTGACAGCTGGAGCTGGCTCAGCACCGTGAAGCTGTGCACAGTATGGCTTCATCCAGCTTTTGCTGTTTAAACACACATTTTCACAAACTACGTAAATAGCTTACTCATGACTGTGGTATATCTGAATAGAAAGTAGCCTATGATGTATGAGCTTGGGGACTTTGATGGGACGCTATAATGTGAAGTTAACAAAGAGGTTGTCAAAATCCTTATTAAGTAAAAGTAGCAATATCACAGTATAAAAACTCTTGCATTTAAAATTATAATACTTGAGTAAAAGTACAACACAGTATTATTAGCAAAATGTAAAATGTCAAAGGTAAAAGTGCTCATAATGTAGATGCACCCCCTTAACAAAAACTTTATATCATGTATTTTTGCATTATTGTTATTGATGCATTGACTTGTAAGCAGCATTTTAAATGTGTGTTTGGACAATGTGGAGCCGATTGTAACTGCTTTATATACCACAAGGTAATAGTTTAATATATTTCAGTGACTCACATTTTACAAGCTGATTATATGCTTTGTATAAAACATTTTAATTTGTAAATAATAATAATAGTAGCCTACAATATTTAAGTATAAATTTGCAACAAATGGCCTAAAAAAAGGCATAGTGTTGCCGTTGAGCGCACAAATTAGCATTTTTTAAATGACTTATGAATCAATATTTCGTTGTTTTTTTTAAGTAGCAGAAAGGGAACTATATCTAAATTTCACAATACAACCCAGTGTTGTAAATCGCCATAAAATACCCTTTAATCTTTAAATCAACTTATAGTTTTACATTTTTTTTTTACCTAATTTAAGTACTTAAATTTAGGCCTACTTTGTTACTTTCCACCACCACTGGTAACATGTTAGGAATAAAATAAATATAAAGCAATTAAATATTTCCGTTTGCATATTAACATCAATAATGCGTTGGGATATTTTTTTTTAGAAACATAGCACATTTCTATTTCTTTTTTCGGGGTTATTTCATTTCTCCCCTAGAGGCAACTTCACGTACGTCCACATGACGCACGGTTGGACACAGGTTTACGTCAGGGCGTCATAGCGCGACACCTCCCCCTCCTCCCCCAAAGTCTAGCTGGGAAGAAAAAAAAAACTTTTTTTTTTTTGTATCGGAGGAATCAACAGCCGCCATCTTGACGCGGCTCAGAATCGGGATTTCGGGGGGAGCATTAATTTTAAAAACCGATCGGAGCTACCCAGACCGGGCTCAAACGGCGTTTTTCGTGCAGAAAATCGAAGTGTTAGTTCTTCCGATGAGAATTAATGCAAACATGTGAGGATTACGTGGGTTTTTATCGTCTCGAAAGCCCACTGTATATTTGATTTCCCTTTTAGAGAGCGCCGCTTCTCGCCGTATCTCCGTCCCGAGACGCTGTATTTACCGGGAGACAGCGACGAGAAAAATAATCCACCTCATAGAAAATATTTTTTGAATTTTGCTCTTTTTATTTAAGCCCGAGATAGATTTTATGGCTGCTCCTTTTGACTGCGAAAAAAATGATTCTGTACAGACGTGAAACCGGCGATCTGCGGAGAAAGGGATTTGCTTACGCCTTTTGTAATATTTTATGATTGATTTTTATTTATTTTTCTCGAACCGAAATAATTTTTGGACGTAATTATTGAGGATAATTATGTGGGTGTTGGGTGTTGGATTATCATGGGTTGATCTTCGGCGGCGAAGCGTGGCGCTGTTGCCTTTCTTTTGAAACCTCCTTTTTCTCCAGGCAGCATTTCGCCAGTCTGCCAGTCCAGAGAGAGAGAGAGAGAAAAAAAAAAAAAAAAATTGTTAAATTGCTCCTTTACGCGTAACGTTAAGGAAAAGTTACCAGTTATTTACGAGCCAGAGGCCTACAACTTGGACGGATCCTGCTGTCATTTTTTTCCCTGCATCATCCATTCATAAAATTTTGCCGACCAGGATGGCTGACAATCTGCTGGAGGGACCTTCTGCAAAGCGACCTAAGCTGAATTCACCTCTCTCAGGATCAGATGGTCCAGGTAAGAACAGGACGTGGAGGTCTTTTTTTTTTTTTCTCCTCCAAAATCGGATGTGCTAACTTGCAATAAGATTTGTCTCTATAAATAAACCTGCACAATGTCCAGTCTTGATTGCGTTTTTAAACTGAACATGCATTTCTTTTTTTTCTCCTTAACGAATAAAGCTACGCTGAAGTCAGTGTTGCTTGTGCAAATATCACAGGGAAAACTGTACATCAAGTCCCTGCAGGATTGTTTGATTAAATCTACAACTAGTGTTAAAACAAAAGTGCAAACTCACTGCCTCTTCATCACACGAGAATTGCTCAACAGTGGAGAGTATGCTCCCAAACTTTTCAGCCTTAAAAGGGTTAAAAGTTGAGGTAAATTGCATTATAGTTCTTAGCCATCATAACATCTGTGACATACAGGTGAATATAATGTTATATCTGCTGGGGTGACTTTTCACATGGCACCTTTTTTAGACTGATGCCATCTGTACATTTATTAATCTAACATAATAAAACATACTGTGATCCCTTTAGAGAAACTCTTGTGTTTGCTACCTACCAGCACAGGTGAACATGCCGCCTCTTGGTTTGCATTTAGTGTCTTTTCTCATTGACTCCTTCAGCGGTGCAGCTACTGGACAGCCCCAAGCAAGCTGATAGAAAGACAACCTCTCTCACCGCTAGGTCATCCTGCCACTGACGGTCCAGCCCCGCTTTCCTGTAGCAAAATGCTCGAGTGGTCTGGATTCAAAGTTATCTGGGAAATTATACTGCAACATTACATGTGTTTACGTCCAGCTTTTCTGCCGCCAGTTGATCAGAGATTCCGCTGAGCGGAGGAGAGCTGCTGCCACGATAAGACTTGAGATTTATAAATTAGCCTTAGGGTCCGCGTCTCCACCAGTCCAACCTGCAGAGCAACAGTGCGAGATTACTTGGAAGAGTTGGACTTTGTAAAAAAAGAAAAAGAAAAAAAAAGTGCCACCCTCTTGCGTATGCCACCCTCTTTGATGTCAGTTGTGAGGTTTTCAGCGCACAACCAATAGATAAAGTCTCCCAGTGTTGTTCACGCTCTGGTTTGTGTATGTGGTTAGTAGTCGGTACAGAATATGGTCATTTATTTGATGATGATGATGATGATTTAGCTTAACATATACCTGATTTATTCCTCAGTATCGACTCTTACACATCCCCAACCCTGTGACCCCAGGGGCATTTTACAGGGGAACAAAATCTACTCAACTCAACTCTATAATCAACTATTATGTAACAACCAAAATGTAACAGGTGCATTTTTGGAAAGCTTGGGCTCTGATTTAAGTCCTTTTCACCCATGTACATTTGCTATGATGTGTTACCTGTGAATGAGAGATGAGCTGATATTTCTCATAGTGACACTCACAGCCATTTGATTGCAGGGGAGAACTAAAAGATCTAACTCCTAAAAGCTGAATATACGGTGTTTTCAAAAACACTGTCACTGAGAAATGGGAGCTACTCTACATCAGAGTGAAGATCAAGAGTAATAATAATTTGATAAATGTGGCACCAGAGCTCCACGTTTGCAGTTTTTTCCAAGGTGAACAAGTGACGTCTTCGAATCTTGAACAGGACTTTCATGTAGGTTCAACATGAAGAAAAGGATCTTCAGGGGAAAGCAGAGAAGTGTTAAGTGATTGTGTCTCAGCACTAATGTGAACAAGCAAAGCAAAGTGAGTGTCTTAAGTAGTGCTGTGTATTGGCAAGTATCTGGTGATACGATCTATATCACGATACAGGGGTTACCATTCAATATACTGGGCTATACTGTGAGCAAGGCGATACATTGTAATCTAATTACTGTCATAGTATAACATCCAACATCATAGCCCTCAGTTTATGTTTACAGGACTGTAATCTATCTAGTGTTTGGAGTTTTATACATAAAAGTTGATACAATGTTTTTGAGAATTGATACAATATCACAAAATAAATATCACAAAACGATATTTTTTGATATTTTCTTACAACCCTAGTTTTAAGAGTTGTGCTGCAACTTAAATTTTTTTTCATAGACGATCAAACTGCTGGTGACTTTTTTCAATTAATCCTTTATCTACAATATAAAAATAACGTCCATTACATTTTGCTGGTCAACGTCTTCCAATGTATTGTTTTGTCCGACCTAGAGTCCAAAATGCCTCCAATATCCAAAAATATTCTTTTTTTTTTTTTTAACATAAACAAGCTCATCAAAAACAAATAAACAAACTAAATTATAAATCAATCACTTTCTCAAGAATTCATAATTCTTTAATACAAATATATATATAATACTTCTTAATAACTATAAACCATTGTATGACATAAAGCCTTCTGTGCTTTACATATAAAATTTTCGAACATGGGGTAATCGAAATACCTTTCACATTCTCTGGTATGGGGGGATTTTTAACTTCCAGGTTCACGTCTGATCTCTTAATTTACACACAAACACAATTTACTTACTTACTTACTGTTTTAACCAAAATGTGATACTAACAAAGTAGAACTCATCAGCGTCAGTGCCCCAAAGCACGCAGCAGGCTGTCTAACGTCACACGCATTGTAGAGGCGTGCAGGAAAAAAACCCTACGTTTACACACCAAGACAAGCTCCTTGCACAGAAACACTAAGTGAACTTTGTGTTGCTTGCTTGATAGCCATTGCAGCTAACCCGTATCTGCTCGTCGGTGTGTTTGTTCACCTCTTCGTCTGCTGGGATGGAAGCCGCTGCGTATCCTCCCCATGCCAAAGCGGGGGCAGGGTTAGTTTCAGACAGCATGGTGTTGTTTACAGGCCGACAGTTAAAAGGAGAGAAAAACACTGTAGTTGACGGTGGATTGTTGTCAGACCCAGGGGAGCTGGTCTGTAGCGCAGAGACAGTGAGAAGTCTCACTCTGCCACGGTTTCCCAGTACCATAAACACTCCCCACACAGTCATTCACTTCTTCTTTGGAATAAACTAGACATATTGCTGCCATACTGTTTGTTAGTGTGTGTTACGTGACAGTTGTTAATTTTTATATACACCAATGCTTAAACAGCTTCCTCTTTTTGTAGTGAGTAATTGTACTCTATTGTGTAATGTATTTTCTTTTCTTTTTTTAANNTTTTTAATGATTTTTAAAAAAAGCCGTGTTGACAAAAGTATCATTCAGGAACCAGTGTCGAACTTTAGGTATCAATAACAATAACTAGCTCTGCTGAAACCAGAGAATGGTTCCCATTTCTACTGTATCAGTTATGAAAATAGTTCTGTCAAAATAATATTCATGGCGTTGGGCAACACTTTCACTATGTTTAAAAGCTTTGTAGTGAAATAGTGTTTGTAACATTACCCTTCTTGGCACATCCTAGTAGTGTGTGTGTGTGTGTGTCCTGTACACTTGCTGTGCACTGAACATGGCTTTGTTGGTATTTTTTGTGCAGTTGCTGGCATCAAGCATTGAAAAAGGATGGATTGACTCATTTCAGTGAAGTCCGCTTTGGGACTGCACCACTGCACTCTTGTCTTCTGCAGAGTACATAAAGATTGGTGCAGTCGCTCAATTTAAATTGCAGTGGAGATCGGAAACTGCTGTCCACTTACAATCAACTGATGTGAAGTTTTTTTTTCGGTCTGTCTTGTCTTCTGTTGGTGGCTGTCCGGCTGGTTATCTAGCCAACTGAAGCCTGGGTTGTTTCCCAAACGGACACCCCGTGGGACAGTCTGCGTGGTCACAACAAATTGCACGTTCACGGACGTCTCCACAGAGCCTACGCGCACATCTTCAAATATTGATATCGCTGATGTGGAAAGTGTCATTCCGGCAGCCTAGTGCTGGGCTGTATGACCAAATTTTTGTGTTGGGTGTCTTGTATCGTATTTTTTAAGATTCTAGCAGTTTCACAGAATATGATAGTAAATTTCTTTCTTTTTTTTTGCATGACTGGGCCCTTAAATATGTTTATATTGGCTTATTCTACTGTCAGGAGTACAGAGAATATCCTGTTTATACTGAAGGCTTTGATTTGACAGTTTTTATAGTGAAAAAATATTTGCTACTTCAATACTTTACAAAACAAAATATTTCAAAATAGTTGTAAAATAAGTATTTTAAGTATTCAAAGAGATTTCTCCAATATTCTGTGGCAGAAGTACGAAACAAATTGTCACAATTTTTATGTGCCTTTTGTGTTTTGTCCTGTTAACCACAGTTAGTTGGGGGTTATTAACTGTTGTGTCATTAAATTATAACAACAAATTCTAAAGATATTCATATCATACGGAACATATACCGGTTCATCCGGTATATCGCCCAGCACTAAATTAGCCCAACACTGCGACTCCTCCCCCACTGCTGCCAAAATCCCTTTATGTCTCCGTTGACACACACATAAACATGTATTCAGTAAGACATTGCACAGTGTCTCTTGTAGACCTGCTCTATTTGAAGTCCTGGATGCAGCTCTGGGTCTTAAGTACACTGAGATGATTTTAAGTGCCTGGCTGCAGATGGGAGGATAGGCACATTGACTTGAAAAAGCCCTAATTCTGAGAAAATTCGGAGGCAGATGTGTGAGGAATCTGTAGCTTTGGCCTCGCTCCTGTACCTTTCTTTTCTTGTGATCACTTAAATTTACTTGATTTGAATTTGAAGTGTCCTCAATGGGTGTGAATTGGTAAATCTGTTTAGAACATACGTTTACAAAGAAATTCAATACAGGTAATTTCTTTTTATTTCAAAGAGGAAAATTTAGACCACATAAATTCAAAAAGATAGTAAAATATTTTAGCGCAATAAATTCAGTGGCATATAAATTTAAACGTTAGATACCAGTATTCAGTCATTTCAAAGATTCAATTCATTATGGCAATTGTTTGCTTCCATGGATGCATTGTAATGCAGTATTATCACAATATGCTCTAATGGGTTAAGCCTACTGAGTCACATTTATTATTGGTAAAGCCTTTCCATTATTGGTAGTGTGACAGATAGCAAAGGCGTCTCCCTTTGCTACATCCAGCCCACTGCACACTGAGCTGTCGCTCACAGCCACAGATTAGCAGCCTGTCTTTGATGTTTATGTTAATGTGTGACAGTTTTTTATGGTGCTCTAGACTTGTGTCAGTATGGGTTTGTTCCTCTGGCTACAGGCCAGGGTCAGGCTTGTTTTCATTTGTCTTACTGAGTTGGCGTGTGAGCACTAAAGGTGAGAAACAGGCAGACACTCTCCCACCCTAGTGTTCACCTAGCTGGGTTTCCTCTTCCTCTGGTCTATGTACCTGATAACCCAAACCCCTGGGTGAGCATTATTCAGCCATGTTAGCATTAGCATGTGTTTAAATACAGTCAAGTGTTAAAATATTGTACCAGCGTGGTGGAGCAGGGGCAGACGGTACTCTGGAACTGCTGGCTAATGTCTCAGCTGAGGTGGAACTGATTTGAAATGAGGAGAACGATGGGTGGCACTGGATGCCAACCCAAAACAGTTCTGCCCTGCAGCCCTCTTTACCTCTACCCTGTTCCTGCCTCCTCTCGTAACCTTCGTATCTCACACATCCACAAGATGCTCACATCCCCTGGAACAAGACTGTGAGCTGTTTCATTCCAATTTTTTCATCCTCTCAGATCATGTAGCCTTTCCCAATTTTTTTTTCTCAATGGCTGTGGGTTTCATAAACGCTGTGCAGTAAATGACTGCAGCCCCAGCTTTACAAGTGTAGTGTGCCACTAATTTTACACATCTTGAAGCCATCACAGCTTTTCTTATAAACCGCCATATTAAAGGTTTTACAAATGTTCTGCAAGTCAAATGTGTGGAAAACAGCCCAGCACTGTGTTTCCTCAGTTTTTAAATGAGGCATTATATTTTCTTTGTTTTTGTAACCAGACCTGCTTTTTGAACCTCATAAAAACACTTTTTAAAATAAAACAAAAGTACACGCTAGCTAAATGGGGAAAAAAATCACAAAAAATAAGGTCATGGCTATGCTAAGGCAGATTAGAAGATTGTGCTCTTTTAATAAAGTTGGGAACTTGTGAAAACAAATACATTTAGCACCAAGTTTTCACGTCCTCAGTCGAAGCAAAACGTCTTCTTCCTCCCCTTTCTTCGGGTTGACATGCACCCAAACTTCCTCAAGGATTTTTTTTCAGCAGCAGAGGAAAGGCCTCTGTTTTACCCCCACTGTACTGATAGTGGAGTATTTTCAAAGTGTTGTATTAGAAATTTTACTTAAAGGATCTGATCCTTCCTCCACCCACAGCCTAACTGCACAGCCAAGCCGAGGTGGGTTTGTTGTAGGAAGTGACTCTTTACCGATGTGTGAGGATAGTAACATTACTTTAGTCAGCTATGTATAACTAGGCTACTACTTTCTATTCATCTTTTACCCAAGTAACACTACATACTGTTTCAAAATCCACTGCTCACAAACATACTGCATAAAAATCCACAACTCTGTTGAACCACATTGACAATTTAAATGGCATTATAAGAGCAATATTTAACTTTTAATAATAATGTGACGCAACAGGCTTACCATCAGCACCTAATGAAATGGGTGATGCTACTGCATTGATGGTGTTAAGGCTTTGATGTCTGGTTGAATAGACGGCAAGCCAAGATCGGATACAACACCCAATTGTGTTCCTGTACTTGGACCAAAATGGTGGATGTAGGGATGGCCGAAAACAAAGGACAAAGTCCAACAAAAGTGAAACAGAAACTTTATAATAAAGAATGTGAGCTTCTTTAGATATGATGCACATGGCCACTGGAAACGAGGAAGGAGGCCTTATTCTCAAAGCAAAGACACTTGTATAATGTACGATAATTTCAATACATGCCTTTAATAAAAGCAGTAAGTGAGTTGTTTTCTCATACTGGCCATGGGCCACCTTTGTACTTGTTTTTTAAGTTCTCATAAGAGATAATGACAGGCGTTCCCTTAGCAGTAGTGAGATGAATACCTGTATCAGTACTTTTTTTCCGTGATTAATCAAACTTCCTCAGGCAACTTTACCTCTCTAGCATATACTACTGAATGTTGAAGGCTGTGCACTAACTACTTTCCCCATGTTTAGCCTGGTTCAGATATGTCCCTTTAGCACTTCCATGATTGCATAGTGACTTGCTTCGAGCATCTTGCTCTTTCCATCTCCATCCCATCCCATTTCTCTCTGACTTTGGTAAGGCACCAACAGCCTGCTGCACAGCCTGTTATTATCTCCCAGACTGAAGAGTCTAATTGAAGATTTTCATGTGGCTGCTGAAAAGCTTTGGGTGAATTACAGCTGGCAGCAGCAATGTGCTCTTCAGGTGAGAATAGTGTGACTCAAGTGTTGGGATTCTCTGGTTAGTGGATGCTTCCGTTGTCTCTATGTTCATGTGATTTCTTGCTACGGGTTATGCTCATCCTATCCTTGTTGTATAATGAGAAACTTCAACTTATACTCTCAGCCTTGTGAAAAGACTCACCATGCTGAAGGCAATTTGTCTCCTTCAGCTGGCTTTTTGGCTCCACTGTATCTTCTCCATCTTAAATTTGTGTGGTCTCGGTCTTGTTGAATATGCCTTGGGTAAGGAACAGGTGCTTGCTCTCAACTGTACACTATCAAGGTCTCTTGCTGTAACTCTGAGACATGTTGCTTTAATCGTACGCACTAAAAGCAAAAGAATTCCAATTTGATTTTAATTATATTTTTAAATCGATTTCTCTCCAATCTTAATAACCCAGGTAGCCAGAGACAGGTATGTATGTGAGGATGTGTGCTGGTAAAAAAACTTTATTGGCTGACATACACAAGCCCACTCACACTTGCACGTGAAGGACCTTAGCATAGACGCGTGATTTGGACTGTAACCTTCATTAATTTTCTGTGTGTTTAGTCGTCTTGTTTGTTTTTTCTGCGCAGCCACAAGAGTGCTATCAGTTACAGAGCTTTTCCTCTACACCTTTTCTCTTGTTGAACTGCTTGAGTGTACATGCACTTGCCCATGAATGCACATGCACATTAGTACTAACAAGCAAACTGGTGAGTTATGCTGTTACAGTGTTTTCAAATGCAAACTGAAAAGTCATATTGTGTTCTTCTACACACAATTATAGTTTTAAATGTTAAAAAAAAAATCTTACAAGTCCATATTAGTACTAATACTATGAGTCATATTGACCAATGCACAGTGTGCACTGCAGACCAGAGAGCTGAATTGTCAGTGGAGTTTAGATTTCACTTCCTGAGTTGGTTGGCCTGCACTAAGCATTTTGGCCAGCATTAGGTGGTAAGCCTAAGGCTGAGGTCAAGGTTAGTTTTGGGAAGATGGAGAAAAAGTGGGTTTTGAGCCCTGTAATATAACTCAAATTCATCCTGCTGTAAACAAATGCTTGAATTTCCTATAGAATAGAATTATACATTACCTTTCTTTGTATTGATGTCAGCATTAGTTGTACTGCGTTTTTGTCTCCTAAAATACATATGTTATACTTATTATCTCTACCTTTGTATGGTGAGCAGGCCTGGTTTAGTTTGAATATAACAACTGGTCGGATTAGGGCTAAACACAAAATAACAACAATGCCTGAGTCTAGCGTTTGTTTTGAGCGCTCGACTGTACAGCTTTTATAGCTTCTACTTTTAATACCCACACCACGTCCATGCAACAGAAGTATCTGGTACGAGCTCCTTGTT